TGAGCAATTATAAAATATTTAGAATTTATTCTGTTACATTCAGATGTAATCTTCATTCGAGAGTTATCCCAAAGAATATTCATCGTTTCTTGAATATGTAATTGCAGGAATATAGGAAGAAGTCGAATGAAAGAGATGCACGGAAACTATTTACTACCATATGTATCATAAAATCACTTCTAGAATTTCCAAGCACTCTATCGAAATCTAGCAATATTCATATTTTCCTATGGTGAAAGGAGTAATCAGATATTTCTATCATTATGAATATTAATGCTACACTAAGCAGGAAAAACAACACTACATGTCTGCATTTAAATGTTCTTACTATTTTTATGCTCGACAGGAACGGATTCCACAGACAATACCAACATCGATCATTTTGTTTTCTCATATTCAGATTGATTAAATTATTCATTCATATCGTCCTTACCACACATACGGTAAATATTTTGAAGTTGTATTTTCAATATTCCATGACTTGAAAATAATTCAGACAATATTTTTCCTATAGAGTGAAATTTGTTCTATTTTATTATGACATGTTTAATCTAATAAAATTAAACGTATGTAAATATATAAAGATAATTCACCTAAGTTCATCCTAAAGTGATAAATATTTCAAAGAATATTTCGAATGCAGACTCACTTATGAATTTTCTACAAGAATCGTGATTCGTTTTACTAAACCAAACTTATACTTTTATAAACTGCTTATGTAAGTAATAAAAATAAACTATTTTATGAAGCATTGTAATTTTGTTTTTAACATAGTTGCTTCATTCCTGCGTTAATTATTAGTCATATCGATTTTAAAATAATTTATATTAAATACTTATAATTTCTTATCAAAATTATTGCATCTAATAAATTTCTGAAGCCAGTTACTTTCGTACAACATAAATTTTTGAAAATTTTTAAATGTTTTAATAATTTTCTTCAAACATTCTTCAAATTATTTTGGAAAACTTTTTATTATATTGTATACTTTACCACGCTAAATATATGTAAAACTATTACATTTTTTGAGACACCATAATGGCACCCCCCAGTGGCCAAACGGTTCCCTTCCCTAAACACTGGGAGTTCGGTCGTGGGTTCGTGCTTAGCCAGGACGGACTGATCACGTGGAATTTTCCGGGTTTTCTCCACGTCTGTAACGCCTGAATAGGGGCCAGTTTCCCTTACCCTTAAAAAGGCCGCCCAGAAAACATCTCCCTAGGCAGATCGCCCAAGTGTTGCTTTTCTGTAACTTAATAAAACAAAAACCAAATACCATAAAGTGTTAATACTAGACACTGAACATTTTCACATCCAATTTACTTTCTTATGTACTTTACAATGTATAAACTAATTGTTCCAATTGCCAATACACGTTTCGGTCTGGTGCCTCTCATCTGTTGGATAACATACTTTTCCTTTAATAATAGATACGTGCGGCCATCTATTAACTGCTTTCGGGGAAGTTTTGAATTGAAATAACATAACTTCCGGTTTTCAGCAGGAAGTTCATGTATAGTTAACCGGGGCCTGCTGCTCCAAAGATTTCCATATCTAATCTCAGATTTTATCTATCCTACTCCGTTCTCGAAATTAAGGACGGGCAGAAGAATAGATGACAGTGGGAATTTATGAGTCTATAATTTTTTAAAATTGCAGCCCAAAATCTTCAGTGTCTAGTGTCAACACTTCACAATGTCTCAAAAAATATACCATGAAGGTGGGCACGGTTTCTATACAGAATGAAAAAAATATGATTATCTATAAAACTAAAAATTATAACACAGCTATTTATAATTCAAGTAAATGATATGTGTGTGTAGCATGCTAACTAACATTTATACATGAAACTTTCGCACATACATAGGCCTATATCAGGGGTGGAGAGCCTATGGTACGCGTGCCGAAAGTGGCATGTCGGGAGAAATTATCTGGCACATAATGTGTCTTATGCTTTCGGTTTATCATCTCTTTTAACTTTCTCGGCTGTTACATTTAACGAGAAAAAATATGGCGCTTGGCCAAGAAATGACTCACGATTTTTACATTTTTGGACTTAGGGGGCCTTGAAACATTGAGAAATGCAAAAAATCGGCCTTTCCTTGTACTGTCGACCCCCCATAATACGGTAGATACGTTCCGAGTTTTATGAATCCAGCTTTTACGAGTCCAGTCAATCACAGCCCGCCACGTATGCAGTTTACGGACTACAGCTGTTTGAAAGGTTTCTTCCATAAAATTAATAAATTCTAGACTAATTCGACTCAACATTTCCAAAATATGTATAATTTTTTGGGAATAATCTATATAAGCTATGCTATAAACAAAAAATTGTGGGATTACTTACCGAGTGTGCACCGTTCGACTACGCTGTTGCTTAAGCTTGTTTTCGTCGTGGAGATTGTCATCGAATGGCGCCCGCGTGCTTCCTGATAAATTATTTTTTTTGCGAAAAATTCGCTGAACTTTAGAGACATCATTAATCATATAAATATAATTTTTATGGACGTTAAATAATAAATGGTTTTTAGTAGATCCGCTGCTCGTTTAAAGTCACGGTTTGTGCAATCCTGTTGCGACAGGATTCGGAGATGACGTTTTACCAAATTATAGGAGTTTTTTTAGCATGTTTGTACGAATACTGTCGCAATTTTTTCGCCGTGATATCGGAATCCGAACTATAGGAACCTGTGTTATAGGGGGTCGACTGTATATAAGAATGTTTTTTTTTATTATCATTTGTGGTTTTTGGTTCCTTACCGCTCAGAGAGCACAAAGAGGCCAATATATAAGAATGTTAATGTATGTATGATTTTATTCACCCTATTTAAAACTTAATAACTCTTGTGCTTTTTGTCGAAAATTTCTGAAATTTTCATGCAGGTTTATGTATTAGGGAGTTTGATGCTATTAAATTTCGGAGATTAAAGGTGGAGGGGTGAAAAGATAAAGGAGGTCGTGTGTATCTCCGATAAGATCGGTCTTGATGCGATTTTACTTCTTATTAGCATTTACAATTTGCTATAAAACCCATCCTTACCCTCAAAATTAAACTTTTTGCCATTTTATAAGAATTAAAAAAAAGATTTTAAAATAAATTATCAAAACAGATGGCGCCACCAGATTTTGTGGTAAAAGTTAAGCAACTCGTTGCTGGATTTTTCACTTATGCTTTCGGTATTACCCGATCAGAAAAAAGTTACAGAAAGAAGTCTGTTTTGGAAATGTTACACATGGGTCCATTCATATGTGCAAAAACCTTAATACAAATCGGTCTATTGAATGGTACTGTACTGTACATAATAATAAATTGCATTTGCATTCTATCTGTACAGCTCAAAATAATAATGCTAATTTTTATTGTTACAATCTCAAAACCGATATAATTTGTAAAATCTTGTTCATCAAATGGAAACAATCTAAACTCACTGTTAAGAGAAATACTTATTTAAATGTCGATACAAAGCGTTAAAATGTCTTGATATTCCGGCTGGACATTTTAAAATATGTTAAAATGTCGGACGGATATTATAGCACAGTTGTTAATGTTTCCGATATTATATATGTCTGCCCTGGAAAAGCAGTTTTAGGTTCTGGCTTTAGTATACACTGTGAAAGGAACGTTGTTGGAATTTGAAGAAATCTGACAGATTAGTGACATATTTAGCAAATTGGATATATCCCTCTTGTGTGTACTGATAGTGAAAAGAGAGTAATTACACTCCAAGCATAACAGTTCAGCTGAAAAAGGAATCCAGCAAGGACATCTGAAACACTATCTGTTATGATATTAATTTTAAAAACTTTTTATATTTTTAATTATTATAAAATGGTAAAAAGCTTATAATTTTGAAGATAGGGACGGGTTATATTAAAAAAATTGTAAATGCTTATAACAAGTAAAATCGTTATTTAGGTCGATCTCACTCGAAATACAACTTATGTACTGTATTTCCTATTCCTTTCACCCTTTAACCTCCAAAATTTAATAGCGTCAATTATTCCCCTAATACACAAAACAACACTGCAACGTTTCAGAAATTTTGACAAAAGACACAGGAGTTTAAGCTTCAAAAACGATGAACAAAATCGTGCCTCCCGGACATACACACACTAATATCCATACATAGAAAGTAAACAATCTAATTTTTAAAATTTTCTGCAATTAGTTTCTTAAATTGTCTAAGTTTTCACCTTATTAGTAAGAGTACAAAGTTTATATAATGAAAAGAAATCCCCTTTAGTATATCGACCATGTGTTGTATTGTATCATCTCATCAACCCAATACAACAGAAGGAGCCCACGATGCGGAAAGGACAACAGAAACACCGATATCTACAGTAACAGAAGCATCTACTACAACAGTGTTTCTCAACCTCTAACGAATCGTCGCCCTCTTCAACATAGTATCGCCCTCTTCACTTCAAAATTCCGATGTCGAGGGCCAAGGCTAACACCAAATTCGTACTGCATTGAATAGACTAGTGACTAGTATAATGTTATTTGTTTAATTATTGTACGATATAACGAATAAAATATCTAATTATTCTTAATTAATATATTGTTTTACTATATCGCCCAGAAAATTGTTTTTCGCCCCCAAAATATAAATTGTTACTAATCGCCTCCTCAACATGGAAAAACGCCCACATGGGGGCGATATCGCCCCCGTTGAGAAACACTGTACTACAACTACAGTAGATTCTCAAATGCCCAATTAGAGCCCACGATGTGGAAGGAGTCAAAAATGGAAAACGTAAATTCACAATTTTTTTAATTGACCTTGTATTTTAAACTGTACACGGAATAACTGTCATGCTTTCATGCTAATAATATGATAATGAATTTTGACGATTAAAATAATTTAAAACAATAGTCCTACGTTAGTTTACTACTAGTCCTACTGTTGTTGGTGAAGTAAGCATTTCTTTTGTAGTGGATGTAGAAGTTCCTGTAGTTGTAGTTGACGGCGGCATAACTGTTGCAGTTGAGATGAGTGTTACTGTTGTACACGACTTGCAGGTTTCTGCTGTACACGATTTGCAGGTTTCCGTTGTACGCGACTAAGAGGTTTCTGTTGTACACGACTTGGAGGTTTTTGTTGTACGCGACTTGGAGGTTTTTGTTGTACGCGACTTGGAGGTTTTTGTTGTACGCGACTTGCAGGTTTCTGTTGTACACGATTTGCAGGTTTCCGTTGTACGCGACTGAGAGGTTTCTGTTGTACACGACTTGGAGGTTTTTGTTGTATGCTACTTGGAGGTTTCTGTTGTATGCGACTTGGAGGTTTCTGATGTACACGAATAGGGCGTTTCTGTTGTACTGGAAGTAAATGTTCCTGTTGTTGTTGACCTCGGTATAGTTTTCGAGACCTCAACATATCCGTTGTAGTTAAAGTGTTCATTTTTGTTGTGGCCAGAATAATTACTTCTGTTATTGTGGACGTTGACGTTTCTGCTGTTGTGAAAGCTTCTCTTGTTGCAGTCGTAGATGTTTCTCTAGTCGATGACAGCATTTCTATTGTACTCGAAGTAGCTGTTTCTGTTCCGTAAGAAGTGGATTTTTCTGCTGTAGACGTAGACGTTTCTGTGGTAGTCGATAAGGGAGAATCTACTGTAGTCGTAGTAGATGCTTCTGTTACTGTAGATATCGGTGTTTCTGTTGTCAATTTTGCCATCTCTGTTGTAGTCGATGAGGGAGAATCTACTGCAGTCGATGAGGGAGAATCTACTGCAGTCGATGAGGGAAAATCTACTGCAGTCGATGAGGGAGAATCTACTGCAGTCGATGAGGGAGAATATACTGTAGTCGTAGTATATGCTTCTGTTATTGTAGATATCGGTGTTTCTGTTGTCAACTTTGACCTTTCTGTTGTAGTCGAGATGGACGTTTCTGTTGTAGTTGAAGTCGACGACTCTTTTGTGCTTGACTTGGTCAATTCTGTTACTGTTGAAGTAGATATTTTTATTGTGTATTTCTGCTTTTTCGTTGTAGCGATCTTAGGTATTCCTGTTGTAGTTGGAATACCAACTTTGATTTCTGTAGAAGGCGTGAGTCTTGATGTATTTTCAAGAACTTTCGTTGTTGGCGTTTTAGTCGTGGTAGGGCGTTTCTTCTTAGTGAAATTTTTAATAGGAATTTTCGGACGCTCTCTTTCTCTTCTAATATTATTGAAAAGATTGAAAAGTGGTATTCTAGAAGCCATTTCATATAGTACTTGAAACTGCTTTATCCAAAATTGTTGATTACAGCGAAGTTTCTCAAAAGTTTTCATGTATTCATTTGTGTGTCTACGATCACTTCTGATTACAGTGCTTCTGTATCTATCGTGTATGTTATAATTATCTAGTGCAGATACTAAAAGTAACATCTCTATTACAAATGTAAGAATTATCATAGTGCATTTCATTATTGTTGAAGAGTAATATATGATTATTTGTTTAAAAAATCATTAAATCACATATCCTACCTGTGCTGCTGATGTTGCTGTAGCGCTTTTGGTTTAGTGATTCGAAATTTAAGGTAACGAATGTAACTATTGTAATATTACACAATAGTTGTTGTATAATATTATGTAAGTTCCTGATTCATTTAGGTAAAAATCCAACTTAAAAAATCTTTTCATTGTACAAGCTTGTTGTATAGAATATATATTTTATTCTTTGAATTTTGATTGTTTCTTTTTCCGGCTTCGTGTTAAATATAGTTATTACTTTATTTCACGATATTTTCAATTTTGTATTTTTGTTTTTCTCTTATAAGTCTATCTTTGAATTCGTATTATACAATATTTTATTAACTCTATTTTCAGTCATAAAGATAAAATATTTCTGAGTTCGCATTCACGTGTTAAGAAACGTTCAAACAACTTCATGTTATCTTTCGGTTATATACAATAATTCGCTTTTTCGACTAGTATAACTATTTTGTAATGAGTGTTAGCAGAGTCGGTAGATTATCTGGTCTTTCGACTACCTATCTTCGCTACTTGCTAAAATCAACTAGAGACAAATGTTACTACCAGGAGCAGTGCAATCACTACAAGTGCTCGAATCGTAGTTAGGTCGAATTGTTTTTACTTACAAAGAAATTATATTATATAACATTACATTATATACAAAATGATAATCATCATTATTTGAGCTATTAAAATTTACTTTAAGTAAGAAATTTTTCTGTATTTTTTACTTTCAATTGATGAAATAAATTATTGATTAATGGTTTGAGTGAAAAAATGCGACCGACAGGTAACAAAAAGTGAAAATCTGGTGGTCAAGCATGACTTGTGAACAGCTTTATCGCATCTATCATCAATGTAACAAAACACTGATTTAATAAAGTATTATATCCATTATTGAAAAATAAACCCCCATGTTTTGTTTTTTAACTGTAAACATACTTTGCTTTTTGTCCAGTACATCAATTGGCAAATCTTACGGCTTGGAAATAACAAACTATTTCGAGAATTGATGAACATAAACATCTTGTCTGGTGCAGCATCTCAAAATTTTGCTGTCACTATATTTTTCTTTCATCATGACCAAGTGATGGCAGTAGAGAATAAACAATGTAACCTCCTAAATAGTGTAGAATAAATTTAAAAATTTATTTATGGGTTTTGGTACAAAATAATCATTATCTAATAATTCACTATCAGTATGATTTCCATTGGACAGGCTCGAATTACAAAGCATATTTTTGTAAATGTTCTTCCAGTTATACTTCGAAGTGTGTATCTTGTAAATCTAATGATTAATTGTATAATATTTCTTTATCAATCTTAAACTATTTATAAGGGAAGGTGGGCCACAAAGAGATAGCTAAGATTTTTGATATTTACTGCTCAACAAAACTGTGATTATGTATACAATAAAACATTGTTTAGATCCTAATAAAAAAAAGACATTATAATAAATGGCTACAGTGCAATTATTCTACATAGCTTGCTCTTCAATGTGATGAAAGTTTAATGTTATTGTTTGGAGCTATAGGATACAAGAAGGATGCGACTATGCAGACGCGAGCGAGCGAATTTTCCGAGTGATCGAGAAGAAGCGAGACCCGATAAATATCAAACCCTGTCTGATATCTGCGAGAACCAGAAATTCACTTTCGCCAACGAGATTTCTAGCTCCTCGCTTGCGCATGGTTAATTTGTTTAATTTCTTTATTCTGTTCTGAAATATTAAACAATATCTCAGAATGAGTAAAGTTTAAGAAACAAAATTTGGCACTGTAGAATGTGTATAAAGGGCGTTAATGCTATTAAATTTTGGTTCTTAATTAAAGCTGGACAGGATAGAGACAGAAGGGATCATGTGCCATATCTCCAGTGTGGTCGGACTTAATGAAAATTTTACTCGTTATTAGCATTCACAATCTTATAATATAATCGAGATAGGTTAATAATAATAATCATCATCATCTCAGAGTTCAAACGGTTAGGAGTTGAAAGTTGAAATTTGATACACAGTTAGGATATATTATAAGAATGTACTCTAAGAAGGGATTTTACGAAATTCCTTTCGCGGGGGGAGAGTGAGAGAGTAAAGAATTACCCAGAAGAACTCCGTTTCTACTGTACTATTTTAGATGCGGTTTTTTTGTGTTTTTGCGAAAATTGATCATACATTTAGACCCATCTAAAAGTTTTCTAATTAGTTTCGGAAGAGGGGGGACCTAATTCTTGAACCCAATGAAAACGAGTAAGATCAGCTATAATCTAATAATCTTAATCTTCGTTATCGTTACTTTTTTCCCGAGCAACATCTGCTAGTTCTTTTTATAAAACTTGTCTCTACCCTCAAAATTAAGCTTGAGTTCTAATATGAGTACAGATGGAAAAAGAAATCTTACAAAATACGAAGATCATATTTACTGTGCACTGGAAAAAATAAATCACATTGACCACTCTTCAAGTTTGGATGTTAGAACGGCAATACTGCACTATCCAGACATTATCCAAGATACAGCATTGATTGTCACAGCATTGCTATCAACCAAGTTTTAGCAGAGCGTTTATTTTACGCTCTTAAAATTATTAAATATGATTTTAGAGCTTCAGTGAATGCTGACTTAATAGAAGTGTAGATGTGTCAAATTTTAATGTTTAATTAGTTTTTTTAAAATCGTTTTATTTCGTATTTTTAAAATCGTTTTATTTCATATTTTTAAAAAATAATCAGAATCGTTGTCATTATTACTTTCCTGGCAGTTATACAGTTTAGCCGTATAGGCCTATAACAAAGAAGAATGACGATCTGACTGGTCGTCATTCTTCAAAAAATGACTTTTCCAAATTTTTACTCTTATGGACATTTGAAACCTTGAAACGTAGAGAAGTGCGAAGGCATTCGGGTATTTTTTTCTGTACGCACGGTTGAACTAAATCTAATGTACTGTACCAATCGATTTAGTTCAATCATTTTTGAAGCTTAATAACTCCTGTGTTAAACAACCCGACTCCGATTTCAAATCGTGCCTCCCGTACAATCTAACATTCGTACATACAGAAAATAAACCTGAATCTTTTGCATATCTCGACATTTCGAGTTGTCCTGAGTCTAAACTGTAAAAATTTCGGATAGGATCATTATTGATCACGCTACACTTACAGCCGGATATGTAAAGATTATCGAATACATATTTAGGCCTATATATTGACTACGACATTACTTAGAGGAGTATTTTAACTTTGGAATGAAAAAGTTTCTACGTTCTATTTTTATTAAAACTATATTTACTTATATTATAACTATATAAACTATATGAGGTCACGTGATGGCTTCAGAATATTCGGGCTTACTTTGTTAACAAGTCCGCACCTGTTCGGAGTCGGAGTTAAATGATAAAGAAAAGTTTGAGTCGGCGTCATGTAAAAATCTATCGACTCCACAGCCCTGATTTTCGTGAGCTCTTTCTAGACGGTTCTTTATTTGTTGTTAGACATTGTACCTCAAAAACGATCAACGCAGACTTACTAATGTACTTATGACATGGCATGGATATGTTTGTTTTGTAAAATTACGGCAACACAACACTAGAGCGACCTGCCTAAGGGGGATGCCTTTGGGGTCTTTTTAAGGGTAACTGGCCCCCTATTCGGGCGTTACAGACATGGAGAAAACACGAATAAGTCCACGTGGTCAGCCCGTCCTGGCGAGGCGCGAACCCACCACAGAACGCCTAGTGTTCAGCGAACAGAACCGCTTGGCCACTAGTGGACTGCTTTGATGGATATGCATCTGACGTCAATGCCCTGCGATCTCGTGGAATTTCTACTTTGTCTCCGTTTAAAACATGGGAGTAGGTTTTTAAAATAAATTTACTTGTAAATTGTACGTCACAAACATAACATTTACTTGTTAGCATCTTGCCTCGTGGAATGCATCGCATCCACGCTTCAATCTTATCGCTAGGAACACGGAAGAAATGTCTCTTCTCGTTGGAAAAAACACGGAAAACTCCATGCTGCCAGCCTGTCTGAGCGAGGTTTCTGTTGTACACGACGTGGAGATTTCTGTTGAACGCGACTTGGAGGTTTCTGTTGAACGCGACTTGGAGGTTTCTGTTGTACGCGACTTGGAGGTTTTTGTTGTACGCGACTTGGAGTTTTCTGTTGTACGCGACTTGGATGTTTCTGTTGTACGCGACTTGGATGTTGTACGCGACTTGGAGTTTTCTGTTGTACGCGACTTGGATGTTTCTGTTGTACGCGACTTGGAGGTTTTTGTTGTACGCGACTTGGAGGTTTCTGTTGTATGCGAATAGGGCGTTTCTGTTGTACTGGAAGTAAATGTTCCTGTTGTTGTTGACCTCGGTATAGTTTTTGAGACCTCAACATATCCATTGTAGTTAAAGTGTTCATTTCTGTTGTGGTCAGGATGATTACTTCTGTTGTTGTGGACGTTGACATTTCTGCTGTGGTGAAAGCTTCTCTTGTTGCCGTCGTAGATGTTTCTCTAGTCGATGACAGCATTTCTATTGTACTCGAAGTAGCTGTTTCTGTTCCGTAAGAAGTGGATTTTTCTGCTGTAGACGTCGATGGTTCTGTTGTTGTCGATGTAAGCCTTTCTGTCTTCAATGTTTGCATTTCTGTTGTAGTCGGTGAGAGAGGATCTACTGTAGTTGCAGTAGCTGCTTCTGTTATTGTAGATATCGGTGTTTCTGTTGTCAACTTTGACCTTTCTGTTGTAGTCGAGATGGACGTTTCTGTTGTAGTTGAAGTCGACGACTCTTTTGTGCTTGACTTGGTCAATTCTGTTACTGTTGAAGTAGATATTTTTATTGTGTATTTCTGCTTTTCCGTTGTAGCGATCTTAGGTATTCCTGTTGTAGTTGGAATACCAACTTTGATTTCTGTAGAAGGCGTGAATCTTGATGTAGTTTCAAGAACTTTCGTTGTTGGCGTTTTAGTCGTGGTAGGGCGTTTCTTCTTAGTGAAATTTTTAATAGGTATTCTCGGACGCTCTCTTTCTCTTCTAATATTATTGAAAAGATTGAAAAGTGGTATTCTAGAAGCCATTTCATATAGTACTTGAAACTGCTTTATCCAAAATTGTTGATTACAGCGAAGTTTCTCAAAAGTTTTCATGTATTCATTTGTGTGTCTACGATCACTTCTGATTACAGTGCTTCTGTATCTATCGTGTATGTTATAATTATCTAGTGCAGATACTAAAAGTAACATCTCTATTACAAATGTAAGAATTATCATAGTGCATTTCATTATTGTTGAAGAGTAATATATGATTATTTGTTTAAAAAATCATTAAATCACATATCCTACCTGTGCTGCTGATGTTGCTGTAGCGCTTTTGGTTTAGTGATTCGAAATTTAAGGTAACGAATGTAACTATTGTAATATTATACAATAGTTGTTGTATAATATTATGTAAGTTCCTGATTCATTTAGGTAAAAATCCAACTTAAAAAATCTTTTCATTGTACAAGCTTGTTGTATAGAATATATATTTTATTCTTTGAATTTTGATTGTTTCTTTTTCCGGCTTCGTGTTAAATATAGTTATTACTTTATTTCACGATATTTTCAATTTTGTATTTTTGTTTTTCTCTTATAAGTCTATCTTTGAATTCGTATTATACAATATTTTATTAACTCTATTTTCAGTCATAAAGATAAAATATTTCTGAGTTCGCATTCACGTGTTAAGAAACGTTCAAACAACTTCATGTTATCTTTCGGTTATATACAATAATTCGCTTTTTCGACTAGTATAACTATTTTGTAATGAGTGTTAGCAGAGTCGGTAGATTATCTGGTCTTTCGACTACCTATCTTCGCTACTTGCTAAAATCAACTAGAGACAAATGTTACTACCAGGAGCAGTGCAATCACTACAAGTGCTCGAATCGTAGTTAGGTCGAATTGTTTTTACTTACAAAGAAATTATATTATATAACATTACAATATATACAAAATGATAATCATCATTATTTGAGCTATTAAAATTTACTTTAAGTAAGAAATTTTTCTGTATTTTTTACTTTCAATTGATGAAATAAATTATTGATTAATGGTTTGAGTGAAAAAATGCGACCGACAGGTAACAAAAAGTGAAAATCTGGTGGTCAAGCATGACTTGTGAACAGCTTTATCGCATCTATCATCAATGTAACAAAACACTGATTTAATAAAGTATTATATCCATTATTGAAAAATAAACCCCCATGTTTTGTTTTTTAACTGTAAACATACTTTGCTTTTTGTCCAGTACATCAATTGGCAAATCTTACGGCTTGGAAATAACAAACTATTTCGAGAATTGATGAACATAAACATCTTGTCTGGTGCAGCATCTCAAAATTTTGCTGTCACTATATTTTTCTTTCATCATGACCAAGTGATGGCAGTAGAGAANCGTTCATAAGAGGAAAGAAAATAAGGTCTGCAGTCATTAAGAATTTCAAGACGGTGAATCATCCGAGACCACGTGGCAGAAAACTCCCGGGTATTTTCTCCTTTATTCTACTACTATCCCTATCTATATTTTATTTCTCCTTCCTTAGTTTGTAAGTAGGTTAAGTTTAGCTATAAGTCGTGTGTCGGTTGCCACAATAGAGGCTTGTTTGTGTAGACGATTATTGTATGTATACGAACCCAATAGTCTGTAAGTTGGAATCATTTTAAAGAACCTGTGTTTGATGAATAAAAAAAATTTTGTATTTTTACTCGTTTTATATGTTTCCTGTCTGCAATAATATATTGCCCTCAAACGAAACTTCACAACTATACCCAGCAGAAAACAATTAAATATGTAATCCAACACCTTATTTTTCGCTGAGAGATTATTTTTAATTAAAACAAACGTTTTCGATCCATTCATTGGATCATCCTCAGGCTAAATGGAACACTTCAATACTTATAATTTCTTATCAAAATTATTGCATCTAATAAATTTCTGAAGCCAGTTACTTTCGTACAACATAAATTTTTGAAAATTTTTAAATGTTTTAATAATTTTCTTCAAACATTCTTCAAATTATTTTGGAAAACTTTTTATTATATTGTATACTTTACCACGCTAAATATATGTAAAACTATTACATTTTTTGAGACACCATAATGGCACCCCCCAGTGGCCAAACGGTTCCCTTCCCTAAACACTGGGAGTTCGGTCGTGGGTTCGTGCTTAGCCAGGACGGACTGATCACGTGGAATTTTCCGGGTTTTCTCCACGTCTGTAACGCCTGAATAGGGGCCAGTTTCCCTTACCCTTAAAAAGGCCGCCCAGAAAACATCTCCCTAGGCAGATCGCCCAAGTGTTGCTTTTCTGTAACTTAATAAAACAAAAACCAAATACCATAAAGTGTTAATACTAGACACTGAACATTTTCACATCCAATTTACTTTCTTATGTACTTTACAATGTATAAACTAATTGTTCCAATTGCCAATACACGTTTCGGTCTGGTGCCTCTCATCTGTTGGATAACATACTTTTCCTTTAATAATAGATACGTGCGGCCATCTATTAACTGCTTTCGGGGAAGTTTTGAATTGAAATAACATAACTTCCGGTTTTCAGCAGGAAGTTCATGTATAGTTAACCGGGGCCTGCTGCTCCAAAGATTTCCATATCTAATCTCAGATTTTATCTATCCTACTCCGTTCTCGAAATTAAGGACGGGCAGAAGAATAGATGACAGTGGGAATTTATGAGTCTATAATTTTTTAAAATTGCAGCCCAAAATCTTCAGTGTCTAGTGTCAACACTTCACAATGTCTCAAAAAATATACCATGAAGGTGGGCACGGTTTCTATACAGAATGAAAAAAATATGATTATCTATAAAACTAAAAATTATAACACAGCTATTTATAATTCAAGTAAATGATATGTGTGTGTAGCATGCTAACTAACATTTATACATGAAACTTTCGCACATACATAGGCCTATATCAGGGGTGGAGAGCCTATGGTACGCGTGCCGAAAGTGGCATGTCGGGAGAAATTATCTGGCACATAATGTGTCTTATGCTTTCGGTTTATCATCTCTTTTAACTTTCTCGGCTGTTACATTTAACGAGAAAAAATATGGCGCTTGGCCAAGAAATGACTCACGATTTTTACATTTTTGGACTTAGGGGGCCTTGAAACATTGAGAAATGCAAAAAATCGGCCTTTCCTTGTACTGTCGACCCCCCATAATACGGTAGATACGTTCCGAGTTTTATGAATCCAGCTTTTACGAGTCCAGTCAATCACAGCCCGCCACGTATGCAGTTTACGGACTACAGCTGTTTGAAAGGTTTCTTCCATAAAATTAATAAATTCTAGACTAATTCGACTCAACATTTCCAAAATATGTATAATTTTTTGGGAATAATCTATATAAGCTATGCTATAAACAAAAAATTGTGGGATTACTTACCGAGTGTGCACCGTTCGACTACGCCGTTAAGCTTGTTTTCGTCGTGGAGATTGTCATCGAATGGCGCCCGCGTGCTTCCTGATAAATTATTTTTTTTGCGAAAAATTCGCTGAACTTTAGAGACATCATTAATCATATAAATATAATTTTTATGGACGTTAAATAATAAATGGTTTTTAGTAGATCCGCTGCTCGTTTAAAGTCACGGTTTGTGCAATCCTGTTGCGACAGGATTCGGAGATGACGTTTTACCAAATTATAGGAGTTTTTTTAGCATGTTTGTACGAATACTGTCGCAATTTTTTCGCCGTGATATCGGAATCCGAACTATAGGAACCTGTGTTATAGGGGGTCGACTGTATATAAGAATGTTTTTTTTTATTATCATTTGTGGTTTTTGGTTCCTTACCGCTCAGAGAGCACAAAGAGGCCAATATATAAGAATGTTAATGTATGTATGATTTTATTCACCCTATTTAAAACTTAATAACTCTTGTGCTTTTTGTCGAAAATTTCTGAAATTTTCATGCAGGTTTATGTATTAGGGAGTTTGATGCTATTAAATTTCGGAGATTAAAGGTGGAGGGGTGAAAAGATAAAGGAGGTCGTGTGTATCTCCGATAAGATCGGTCTTGATGCGATTTTACTTCTTATTAGCATTTACAATTTGCTATAAAACCCATCCTTACCCTCAAAATTAAACTTTTTGCCATTTTATAAGAATTAAAAAAAAGATTTTAAAATAAATTATCAAAACAGATGGCGCCACCAGATTTTGTGGTAAAAGTTAAGCAACTCGTTGCTGGATTTTTCACTTATGCTTTCGGTATTACCCGATCAGAAAAAAGTTACAGAAAGAAGTCTGTTTTGGAAATGTTACACATGAGTCCATTCATATGTGCAAAAACCTTAATACAAATCGGTCTATTGAATGGTACTGTACTGTACATAATAATAAATTGCATTTGCATTCTATCTGTACAGCTCAAAATAATAATGCTAATTTTTATTGTTACAATCTCAAAACCGATATAATTTGTAAAATCTTGTTCATCAAATGGAAACAATCTAAACTCACTGTTAAGAGAAATACTTATTTAAATGTCGATACAAAGCGTTAAAATGTCTTGATATTCCGGCTGGACATTTTAAAATATGTTAAAATGTCGGACGGATATTATAGCACAGTTGTTAATGTTTCCGATATTATATATGTCTGCCCTGGAAAAGCAGTTTTAGGTTCTGGCTTTAGTATACACTGTGAAAGGAACGTTGTTGGAATTTGAAGAAATCTGACAGATTAGTGACATATTTAGCAAATTGGATATATCCCTCTTGTGTGTACTGATAGTGAAAAGAGAGTAATTACACTCCAAGCATAACAGTTCAGCTGAAAAAGGAATCCAGCAAGGACATCTGAAACACTATCTGTTATGATATTAATTTTAAAAACTTTTTATATTTTTAATTATTATAAAATGGTAAAAAGCTTATAATTTTGAAGATAGGGACGGGTTATATTAAAAAAATTGTAAATGCTTATAACAAGTAAAATCGTTATTTAGGTCGATCTCACTCGAAATACAACTTATGTACTGTATTTCCTATTCCTTTCACCCTTAACCTCCAAAATTTAATAGCGTCAATTATTCCCCTAATACACAAAACAACACTGCAACGTTTCAGAAATTTTGACAAAAGACACAGGAGTTTAAGCTTCAAAAACGATGAACAAAATCGTGCCTCCCGGTCATACACACACTAATATCCATACATAGAAAGTAAACAATCTAATTTTTAAAATTTTCTGCAATTAGTTTCTTAAATTGTCTAAGTTTTCACCTTATTAGTAAGAGTACAAAGTTTATATAATGAAAAGAAATCCCCTTTAGTATATCGACCATGTGTTGTATTGTATCATCTCATCAACCCAATACAACAGAAGGAGCCCACGATGCGGAAAGGACAACAGAAACACCGATATCTACAGTAACAGAAGCATCTACTACAACAGTGTTTCTCAACCTCTAACGAATCGTCGCCCTCTTCAACATAGTATCGCCCTCTTCACTTCAAAATTCCGATGTCGAGGGCCAAGGCTAACACCAAATTCGTACTGCATTGAATAGACTAGTGACTAGTATAATGTTATTTGTTTAATTATTGTACGATATAACGAATAAAACATCTAATTATTCTTAATTAATATATTGTTTTACTATATCGCCCAGAAAATTGTTTTTCGCCCCCAAAATATAAATTGTTACTAATCGCCTCCTCAACATGGAAAAACGCCCACATGGGGGCGATATCGCCCCCGTTGAGAAACACTGTACTACAACTACAGTAGATTCTCAAATGCCCAATTAGAGCCCACGATGTGGAAGGAGTCAAAAATGGAAAACGTAAATTCACAATTTTTTTAATTGACCTTGTATTTTAAACTGTACACGGAATAACTGTCATGCTTTCATGCTAATAATATGATAATGAATTTTGACGATTAAAATAATTTAAAACAATAGTCCTACGTTAGTTTACTACTAGTCCTACTGTTGTTGGTGAAGTAAGCATTTCTTTTGTAGTGGATGTAGAAGTTCCTGTAGTTGTAGTTGACGGCGGCATAACTGTTGCAGTTGAGATGAGTGTTACTGTTGTACACGACTTGCAGGTTTCTGCTGTACACGATTTGCAGGTTTCCGTTGTACGCGACTAAGAGGTTTCTGTTGTACACGACTTGGAGGTTTTTGTTGTACGCGACTTGGAGGTTTTTGTTGTACGCGACTTGGAGGTTTTTGTTGTACGCGACTTGCAGGTTTCTGTTGTACACGATTTGCAGGTTTCCGTTGTACGCGACTGAGAGGTTTCTGTTGTACACGACTTGGAGGTTTTTGTTGTATGCTACTTGGAGGTTTCTGTTGTATGCGACTTGGAGGTTTCTGATGTACACGAATAGGGCGTTTCTGTTGTACTGGAAGTAAATGTTCCTGTTGTTGTTGACCTCGGTATAGTTTTTGAGACCTCAACATATCCGTTGTAGTTAAAGTGTTCATTTTTGTTGTGGCCAGAATAATTACTTCTGTTATTGTGGACGTTGACGTTTCTGCTGTTGTGAAAGCTTCTCTTGTTGCAGTCGTAGATGTTTCTCTAGTCGATGACAGCATTTCTATTGTACTCGAAGTAGCTGTTTCTGTTCCGTAAGAAGTGGATTTTTCTGCTGTAGACGTAGACGTTTCTGTGGTAGTCGATAAGGGAGAATCTACTGTAGTCGTAGTAGATGCTTCTGTTACTGTAGATATCGGTGTTTCTGTTGTCAATTTTGCCATCTCTGTTGTAGTCGAAGAGGGAGAATCTACCGTAGTCGTAGTAGATGCTTCTGTTACTGTAGATATCGGTGTTTCTGTTGTCGGTGTTTCTGTTGTCAATTTCGCCATCTCTGTTGTAGTCGATGAGGGAGAATCTACCGTAGTCGTAGTAGATGCTTCTGTTACTGTAGATATCGGTGTCTCTGTTGTCGGTGTTTCTGTTGTCAATTTCGCCATCTCTGTTGTAGTCGATGAGGGAGAATCTACCGTAGTCGTAGTAGATGCTTCTGTTACTGTAGATATCGGTGTCTCTGTTGTCGGTGTTTCTGTTGTCAATTTCGCCATCTCTGTTGTAGTCGATGAGGGAGAATCTACCGTAGTCGTAGTAGATGCTTCTGTTACTGTAGATATCGGTGTCTCTGTTGTCGGTGTTTCTGTTGTCAATTTCGCCATCTCTGTTGTAGTCGATGAGGGAGAATCTACCGTAGTCGTAGTAGATGCTTCTGTTACTGTAGATATCGGTGTCTCTGTTGTCGGTGTTTCTGTTGTCAATTTCGCCATCTCTGTTGTAGTCGATGAGGGAGAATCTACCGTAGTCGTAGTAGATGCTTCTGTTACTGTAGATATCGGTGTCTCTGTTGTCGGTGTTTCTGTTGTCAATTTCGCCATCTCTGTTGTAGTCGATGAGGGAGAATCTACCGTAGTCGTAGTAGATGCTTCTGTTACTGTAGATATCGGTGTCTCTGTTGTCGGTGTTTCTGTTGTCAATTTCGCCATCTCTGTTGTAGTCGATGAGGGAGAATCTACCGTAGTCGTAGTAGATGCTTCTGTTACTGTAGATATCGGTGTCTCTGTTGTCGGTGTTTCTGTTGTCAATTTCGCCATCTCTGTTGTAGTCGATGAGGGAGAATCTACCGTAGTCGTAGTAGATTCTTCTGTTACTGTAGATATCGGTGTTTTTGTTGTCGGTGTTTCTGTTGTCAATTTTGCCATCTCTGTTGTAGTCGATGAGGGAGAATCTACTGCAGTCGATGAGGGAGAATCTACTGCAGTCGATGAGGGAAAATCTACTGCAGTCGATGAGGGAGAATCTACTGCAGTCGATGAGGGAGAATATACTGTAGTCGTAGTATATGCTTCTGTTATTGTAGATATCGGTGTTTCTGTTGTCAACTTTGACCTTTCTGTTGTAGTCGAGATGGACGTTTCTGTTGTAGTTGAAGTCGACGACTCTTTTGTGCTTGACTTGGTCAATTCTGTTACTGTTGAAGTAGATATTTTTATTGTGTATTTCTGCTTTTTCGTTGTAGCGATCTTAGGTATTCCTGTTGTAGTTGGAATACCAACTTTGATTTCTGTAGAAGGCGTGAGTCTTGATGTATTTTCAAGAACTTTCGTTGTTGGCGTTTTAGTCGTGGTAGGGCGTTTCTTCTTAGTGAAATTTTTAATAGGAATTTTCGGACGCTCTCTTTCTCTTCTAATATTATTGAAAAGATTGAAAAGTGGTATTCTAGAAGCCATTTCATATAGTACTTGAAACTGCTTTATCCAAAATTGTTGATTACAGCGAAGTTTCTCAAAAGTTTTCATGTATTCATTTGTGTGTCTACGATCACTTCTGATTACAGTGCTTCTGTATCTATCGTGTATGTTATAATTATCTAGTGCAGATACTAAAAGTAACATCTCTATTACAAATGTAAGAATTATCATAGTGCATTTCATTATTGTTGAAGAGTAATATATGATTATTTGTTTAAAAAATCATTAAATCACATATCCTACCTGTGCTGCTGATGTTGCTGTAGCGCTTTTGGTTTAGTGATTCGAAATTTAAGGTAACGAATGTAACTATTGTAATATTACACAATAGTTGTTGTATAATATTATGTAAGTTCCTGATTCATTCAGGTAAAAATCCAATTTAAAAAAGTCTTTTTATTGTACAAGCTTTTTGTTTAGAATATGTAATTTAATCTTTGAATTTTGATTGTTTCTTTATCCGGCTTCGTATTAAATACAGTTATTACTTTATTTCACGATATATTCAATTTTGTACTGTATTATTATTTTCCTATTGTAAATCTATCTTTGAATACGTATTATACAATACGTTATTAACTCTATTTTCAGTCATAAAGATAAAATATTTTTTTCTGAGTTTGCATTCACGTGTTAAGAAACGTTCAAACAACTTCATGTTATCTTTCTGTTATATACAATAATTCGCTTTTTCGACTAGTATAACTATTTTGTAATGACTGTAAAGCCTGATTCTCACATGCGACAACGGACGGCGGAAACCGTCAACGAAACGGCAAAATGACGTCACTTTTGCTGTCGAAGCCAACGGAATGTGAAATTGAAAATTTTCAACTTTTGCCGTCGTGGAAAGCGGAACAGCAAAAATTAGACCAATAGGAAGGCCGGTTAGTAATGTTGTCATAAAGATCACGTGGGACGATAGCATTCGAACAATGGCGGTCGCCAAGCTAAAATGCTTTATTTGTGCACTAATACGCTATATTACTATCCGATTTAAATATTAATGTTAAATAGACGTACTTACTGTAAAGTATTGGGAATGGAGTAATCGTAATTCGGTGACAAAAGTATTCGATATTCCTAACTTTCGAGGATTTAGAATATTTTTCATATCTGAAGTATTCGTTTTTGGCAGTTTTTTATTTGCGATAAGATCGAATGCAAACTTAAAAAGTTTAATTGATATAAGAAAGCAATCCCGGTAGACGCCATTTTCGACTACTGGCATGTGACCTACCTGCTGTAGTAGCTTGTTTATATTTACGGCTGGCAGATGGCTCGTTTCAATTGAAGGGTAATTTCCGCATGTGAGTATCAGGCTTTAGTGACTTTTGACCACGTTGGTGTGGAATATATTGTTCAAACTATATTTATAGGAACATCACTACTGTGAATTGAAGCGTTCGATTTGGTTTACAAAACCCATTTAGGTCGTACACCGAATATATTCTATAAAAACAGTATTTACATCTTGGTTAGTTTTTGTGCATTGTATTTCGTGTGTAGTATAATAATTGACTTTTGAATTTCATTTTTATAACTATATGATTTTTGCAATTGGATTTGATCTCATTGATAAGATAACACATGTGGCATATCCAAGGCAGTGTTGCCGCAATGAAATTTCAAAACGTACTGAAGCGCCTTCAAAAAATGTACTATTTTTCTTCAAAATGTACTAGTTCTATGAATACTTTGTTTACGTGTCTATATATATATATATATATAGTTTATTGTCAAATAATTTAATTTTAAATCTTATTTTTGGAATTTTTTGAAAGCTATTTAAAATTAAAAATATATCTACACATCTATTACTTATTATAAAATGAGCATTACATTGACAACATTTATTAATAATACTATTGAATTTCATCTTAATTTTATAACCAATCGTGCTTTAAAAAAATAATTATAAATTTGTTATATTATATTATTTTATTCTTTATTATACTTTAAATTTTTTTGATGTTATTGCATCACTTTACGAAGTGGTATATACGTAATTGCATCAGTTTTAGTACCTATTTAATTAATTTCAATCATGACAGCAAAAGATAAGGATGCTTGTTTCTTTTAAACTATTTGATGAAAACGTTACATAAAATTGGGGTTGCATAATCATCTGAAATTATTATTATATTTTTGACTGGAAATTACAGGATTTATGCAATTTTAGTTTAATTAATGTCATATAAAACTGACTGCTCGTACAAGTTTGCTTAAAACATGCAACTCAAAAAACCCCAAAATGGCAGCTCAAGAAGTAGATCACGCGTGTCCTGATCTTCTTATATAGACCTTGGAACAGTCGGAAGCGCGGCCATTTTGGAACCATACGTAACATTAACCCTTATTTCTTTTACTACGATTACTAAAATTGAAGTTCATAATTTAAGAATTAAATTATAGTGGTAGAAAATAATATAAAAGTATTTATAATATTTATACTCGTACAATTTCAAAACTATTTTCTGTAATAATTTGTTTCTGACTTAACGGATATTTTGATATTATTGACGACAAAAGTTTAAAATCATTGATTTCCTTACCTGTCCATTATTTTTGTTTGACGGAGTTGAATTGTTTGGACCACGTGGCATGAAAAATTTTGTCAAGGTCCTGATGAGAATGTGCAGACAACTGAACATATGAAAGAAGACCACTGAGTCAAGACCGTTTACACGTGCAACTATCTATGTTGCTGATGTCGACGGACACACACCATTTGTATGTTGTGATTGGATAATTTAAATTAGCAAGCAGTGCCACTAGTGAGACTTTATTAAACTAATTTTTCTCATTTTTTCGTTAAGGCGTGAAATATTATTTTGTACCGTAAATGGTACTTGAAATATTATAATGTACTGAAAATGTACTAAAAATCTAAATGTACTTTCAATTTATTGGAAAGGGCAAAATGAGTACAAAAAACAAAAACCAGAAAAGTACAAATGTACTAGGAACGGCAACACTGATCCAAGGATTGCCTCCCGGAAGACTTTACAATATTTGGAAAATTGGTCCTTATTCAGGTGTTAGGCAGCTGAAGAAAATTCGGAAAACTCCAATCTCTGAAACCCCTACTATGGGTTTCAACGGGTTCAGCCAAGCGGAGTTTTTAGTGTTCCGTGGTTTCATCCACTCGATTACTAGTGGGCACGTAACTGGAATAATTGTTCTGTAAATACAGTAGACCTCTATAAAACGGGTTCATATAATACGGATTCGTATATAACGGCGAAAAAATTGCGATCATATTCGTATAAACACACTAAAAGAGACTCGTATGATACGGTAAAACGTCATCGCCGACTCGTGTTGCCACAGGATTGGTCGAATCTAGACCAGTAGCGGATATTGCACAAACCGTTGAGTTTAAACGAGCAGCGGACCTACTAAAAACCATTTATTATTTAACTCCATAAAAATTATATTTATATTAATGATGTCTCCAAAGCTCAGCAAAATTTTCGCAGAAAATTAATTTATCGGGAAACAGGCGCCCGCCGTTCGATGCGTCGCTCCGCGACGAAAACAAGCTTAAGCAATGGCGTCGTCGAACTCGGTAATGGCACTCGGTAAGTAATCCTACAATTTTTTGTTTATAGCGTTAAAACATAGTTTATATGGATTATTCCCAAAAAATTATACGTGTTTTGGAAATGTTGAGTCAAATTAGTCTAGAATCGATTAATTTTATGGAAGAAAACCTTCCAAACAGCCGTAGTCCGTAAACTGCATACGTGCCGGACTGTGATTGGCTCATGTATTTAAGGACTCGTACAACATGAATTTCATAAAACACGGAACGTATCTACCGTGTTATAGGGGGGTCTACTGTACTTGTCTCTTTAATCCGAAAAGAATTACTTCGGATTAGAGAGACAATTATTATTATAGAATTGTTTGGATAACCGTTTTTAATGTTATATGATATACTGTATACCTATGTTTAAAATTAGTAGTAAAAAAGAAATATTAAAAACCGGTATGTATTTTTATAAAACTTTTTAGAAATTCTACTATTTGTAAATAACTTGTAAAATGTTACTAAAATTACAGTTATTCTAAAAATATAGGCCTACTTTTGTGAATTTTTATAGTGGGGTGGTGAAAATCTTTTTAATGTTATACGATATAAGCCCTTGTGTTTTTTTAAAATTAGTAAATATTGTAAAAGAGAGCCAGGAATACCATAGGAGTAGGATATGAGTGTGACAAATAAACCGAGAAAAATTTATGAAGTTCTTTATGGTATGATAAAATGGTTTTTTATGTTAGTTAATATTATCTACACGCGTTATATTGTCATATTACTGATTGTATTTGAAATTTTTTTAGCACTGAGGAGGGGCTTGAGAATTAAATAAGCCCGAAATGCATATAAAAAACAATAAAGGAGTTTTTAACCTAAATAGCTGTGGGATAGTCTACTGAATTAATTCTTTTCGGATTAAAGAGACAAGTATTTACAGAACGAATAATACAGCTACCATAATAAATATTTAATGGAATAATTGTATCGATGTTATGCAATAAATACTTAGCCTAAGAAAGTGCTTTACAAACCAATTTTCGGTAAGACATATAATGTAAAAGAAAGGTGTTTGTTTGTTTGTTAAGTTATGGCAACGAAACGCGTGACCGATCTGCCTAGGGGATGCCTTCCGGGAGGTCTTTTAAGGGAAACTGGCCCCTATTTAGGCGTTACAGATGTGGAGAAAAACCGGAAACTCCACTTGGCCAACCCACGACCGAACTCCCAGTGTTCAGGGTACGAAGACCGCTTGGCCACTGGTGGGCCGAAAAGCAAGGTTGAGTATGTAAATTCGAAAATCTGCATGAGTGATAAACTACTACTATATTAATTCTTTTTACCTCTATGTCAATATAGAAACAAAAAAGTACTACTATTATATTTGATTACATTAACGAAATAATATTTAATTGTTTTAAAATAGCAACTTTGGTAGTATTTAATAATTAAATCAGTTTGACGTAATTTCCTTATCACTTATTCCTCTTTTTCTGACTCTGTTATATAATAGAGGAAAAGTATGACGATCGGTCAAAAAATGGCTCCCAAGATTTTTACACTTTTGGAATCAGGAGACCCTAAAATGTCTAGAAATGTAAAAATATTTGGGCGTTTCTCTGTATGCCGGGATGTTTGTGTGTATGTGGGATGCAAGGTTTTTCTTACCTGCTTTGAAGGTTAATAACTTTTTGTCAAAAATATCTGAAATTTTGCAAGAAGGTTTGTTTATTAGGGAGATTGATGCTATTAAATTTTGGCTGTTACAGATTGAGGGGGTGGAGAGATAGAGGTCATGTCTCATATCTTCAGTGTAGTCGGACTAAATGAAGATTTTACTCATTATTAGCATTTACAATTTTTTATAAAATTCATCTCTACTCTCAGAATTATACATTTTGCCAATTTACTAGTAAATTACTTTTTAAAAAGTTTTAAAATTAAATATTATAACAGATTGCGCTACACGCAGTTTCAAATGTTTTTGCCGGGAAAGCTAAGCAACTCGTTGCTCGCGTTTTATATTCTTTGTTATTATTAAACCTATTTACATGTGCTTTCCATTAGGAAGCTACACTCATCAACATACATTTGTCTAACTTGCAATGTGCATTTCAGTCTTACTATCTGACCCATTTCAGTCCGCTATTTTGTTAATTTCGTCTGTATTTAAAGATAAGAATGTGGATAAAATTAATTAATGAAATAAGGGACTGGGAGTGTGAGATTAGTAAGCTCGAAATACATATTCCCAGTGGTGATATTCAGCGGGTTCGCACAGGTTCGGCCGAACCCGTTGTTAACATTTTCAAAGTTTTTCGAACCTTGTTAAACACACGTAACATTTCTCAGTGGTTTTGTTTCTTTTAAAAAATATATTAAAATATACGTATTATATACTCTGTAACACTACTAAACTAGAGCCTTATACCACGTTCGCCTTGGTACGACCTCCCTCGACCGTTTCAATCTCGACTGAAACGAGGTTCAATCGCGATCGACTCAAAAGAGTTCTTGAAACTAAATCCAGTCATAAGAGAGATCCCACAATCCCACGCGCGCGAGAAAATACAAGATGGCTGCGGAACACGTGTCGTAATAAAATATATACAAAATAAATCATTTGAACACTTTTTTATTATTTATAAAAAAATATATAGCTCTGGCATAAACAATGTTAAATTTTAATTGACTTAATTTTGTAAATGCATCTTTTTTATTTATATGAGTATCTTAAGGTCAGTTTTTGCGCTAATGTTGCTAATGCACCATTTGAGCAAAAAAAAAAAAAAAAAATGTTAAGGAAAAATTTTGTTAGCGAACCCTTTGTTAAATATTTCGAATATCACCACTGCATGATATTTCAAATAAAAGAAATATCTATTTGTTGATAACGTGACTTCCTGAAAGAAAACACTACAGATGGGTTCAAAACACAGAAAATGAAAACAATTTAAAGCCTATTATAACAACTATAAACAAAGTGTGAATATATCACCAATACAATTTTTTTTTTTTTTTTTTGTGGTTTTAGCCCCTTACCGCTCAGAGAGCACAAAGAGGCCAATCACCAATACACTTATCATCATTATCATCACAGCGTATAGGCCTATAAAATATAGAATATATTGATATTAAAAAATACATTATTTTCTGGAATAACAGTTGAAATTATATACTAATCAGAATCACAAAAAGTATCTTACACAGTTTATTAACTACTAGACTGATATACTGTATACCTATGTTTAAAATTAGTAGTAAAANGACTGATATGTAGAGTCTATATAAGAAAATTGGTAAGACTGATAGCCACTTAGCCACTGATTATCCGTCCTTACATTATTATAATATAATATATTAATACCTTACATTATTATAATATAATATATTAATATAAATTAATTAGTAGAATCACCTTTCCTATTATTTAACCTAAAGATTACATTACAATTATAATCTAACTAAACATTTAAAGTTAATTATCTCTATCTCTAGTGTTAAACCGAACCAAAGTTACTACCTAATAGTGTAAGAAGTTTTACTGATTTATAGTGACCAATCTAAATAATAAAAGTTTCTTAAATATTTTTTTAAATGTTTCATTTCCTTAAAAAAAAACTATAAATTGCTGATAGATAGATAGATAGATAACACTTTATTGCACCAAAAATACATCCGCGCTGGATCCAGCTGAAATGATGTTGGTCCAGCAAAAATCCAGCTGGATTGAAAACACTGCTGGATTGCAATCCCTAGTTATAATACATATTTATGCAATTGACTCAAAGTTTTAAGAGCACCCCTTGTCTTGCGTTACTTTATCCCATCAAATCAAACCACTCTCTTCAATATATACTTTGAGGAAAGGCAAATATTTGTGAAAATGGAAGAGGAAAATTTGATTCTCGTTAATTCCTATTCGTCAAATCCCACAAGTGACCGAGTGGATAAAATCATGGGACACTGAAAATAGGTTCACGCCTGGCCAACGGGTTGGCCACGTGCAGTTTTTCGGGGTTTTTTTTACGTTTGTAACAACTTAAATATGGGCCAGTTTCCCATAAAAGCCTTCCAGAGAGGCATCGGCCACGAGTCGCTTTGCTATAACTAAAATAAACCAAACCCATTTGTCAACCATCCGACTCGCTGTGGTCACACCTCTCGGAACATATCTTATAGTTTATAACATTGGAACATTTACAATTTACAGAATTAATGCAGAAGCCACTTCATAATGTTAAAATACTTTTATGAGCGTCATCAATATGTAAAATACTAATCGTCATTAAAATCTAATGACAGTTTATTACAATGTCATGCAGCTAAACTTCAGACAAAAACTTAAATTGGAAGATATAATTATAAATTAAAGTAACTTATAAAATTTAAATGTAGAAGTAAAATAGAGCTTAATGTGAATATATATATATATAATCAGTTAGAGCATCATACCTGAAAAGAATTTCGTATTCCATCAAAAGTGTAAACAAAACTAATGGAAGACTCAAAAATTCTTACATAATTTATGAGTAAGTAGTAGGTAAACATGCTCTAATTGAATTTATATAAGATGCTAATCAATCGACTTTCAAATTGCATGAGAAATATTAAAGAAAAGTTATTCATTTTACACGTGAAATTCATTTCAAACGTTTATAAGAAAAAGTCATGGAAGACAGTTTCTTTGCAAACAACTGCTACTGTTGTTTCATGAGATATTTATACTGGATGATGAATGCTTTTTGGATGAACTCTTCGCTCCCTAAATATGCTAGAGATGATTCAAATTGGACGAAGATCAATAAATTAATAATAACTATGGTACTCTTCGGTTCAACAACCTTCATTCTTATTGTTATTGTGTTAAAATTCTTCTTTAAAATGAATCAAATTGGAATCTGCGTAGCGTTTGAGAATATTCTTGAGGAAAACACAGCTATTTATTTAAATATAATATTAGCAACATATATAATTACCTTATCTCAATTTGTTTACTTTGCTTACTTTGCTAGTGATGGTCCATCCGAGCAATTGTGCCAATTATGGAATGATGATTGTGATCCCTCGACTAAATATACATATTTAAAACATGCAAAAAATCAGGAATTTTTACAAAAAACTTTGTGTCCGATTATCATAGGAATTATCGTTGGTGTGAAATTTGTCAGTACCGCAATAATTTCTCTACCAATATATGTAGAATTCTACCGTTATTACGGGCAAATTGTGGCTTTTATAATATCTTTATTAATATCTTTCAGTCTGATTTTCTGTACGGCATTATGGATGACGATTACCATTTATGCAATATTAATTGCTTATTCCATTGCTCAGAAATTTAAAGAGGTTCGAGATCATCTGGAAACTCTACTTGATAACCACGAAGAGCTAAACAATATTCAAATAATCCAATATCGACATACGCAGGTTATAGATATGGTTGGAGCATCAGATCTAATGCTATCTCCATACATATTTTTGGTGTATGTGTTTACTGTACCTGGTACGTGCGTCGTACTACGATATTTAATATTCAGTGAATTATCTAACATTGAACGAGTAACTTTGGTTAATTGGATCATAAGTCTCCTACTTGTATGCATTGCCATCACCTTAATTTCTGGTAAAATCGTCGTAAATGTATGTGAAATTCTTTTATGTACCCTCATTATATGTTATTTTTGAAAATTTTCCTGTATTTTAAATTCATTTTATTGTTTAGGCACACGAACCTGAACAACTTCTTCACAAAATTATGAACCTCCCATTAAATTCGTTCTATAAATTACAGGTAATTATTATTGTTAAAACAGAAAGCAGTTAATCTGTGTCTACAATTTTTATATTTGCTAATCAAATTTATGTTTCTAGATAAACTTATTTCTACAACGATTACATGGTCCGCCTATCGGTCTGACTTGTTTGGGGATATTTGTAGTTACTTATGGAACACTTTATAACGTGAATAATTTTGATTTATAGCTGGTATTTTCTTTTCTCCAAAATAAATTTCGTTCTCTCTATTCTTTAACAGGTTTTCAGCATGATTGCATCTTATCTGTTGATGTATGTCCAGTACAGTAAATCAAATTAGAAGAATTGAAATGGTGAAATAAGATGGACATTGCACTTGTGTTCCAAGTGCCATATCACATTCAATCAATACATTTTAAAATTTACCTTGTGTAAATTATTAATCAGATTGATCATTTGGGTAATTAACTATTATTATTATTTACTGATAAACTTTAGCTTAAGTATATATGTATCAATTGAAAATTATTCTTGTCTATGTTATAAAATAATAATTAAAACTTTAAATATTCAAAAAAAATTGTATAAAACTTCTAGAAAGTAATGAAATACAATTTTATAATTTTATTTTGGATCTAAATATAACAAAACAAGCTCAAAATATAATGTTTCTTGACGTTTTGACATTCCACGAACCCAAAAATGCAAAAATACCCCTTACAAATTTATATGTTTGTCAGTGTGACTAAATGAACCAAAAATTTTAAAAATTGGCAGGGTTATTTCTGCATATGGAAAAATGATACTTTTAAATTTTACTAGTTAAAGATAAAGGGGTTGAGCAATTGAAGGGATCGTGTATATCTCGAATGGGTCCAACTTATAGACTAAAAGTTTAATTTGTTATTTGCATTTATAATTCCTTTAGAAACTCGCTCCTACCCCAAAAATAAACCTCTTGTCTTTTAATAATAATTAATAGTATAAAAATTATTTTTTTAAATCCAGCAACGAGTTGCTTAACTTTCCTGGCAACATTAAAACTGTGTAAAACTCCTCCTGTTATAATATATTATTAAAACATTTTTTGCATTATTAATTATTATAAAAAGGCAAAAAGCTTTATTTTGAGGGTGTTTGGATGGGCTTTATAAAAAAAAAAACAATTGTAAGAGCTAATAACGAGTAAAATCATTAAGTTCGACTCTCCTCGAGATACGACGCAGAACCCCTTCCATCTTTCCATCCCGTTCAACTTTAACTATTAAAATTTAATAGCATTAATGTTTCTAATACACAAATCGCTTTGTAAATTAAGAAATATTTGACAAAAAGCACAGGAGTTAGTAAGCTTTAAAAAGTGTAAACAAATTCGTGCCCCTTGGCACACACACACACACACACACTAATAATATCCATACATACAGACTAAACCACCAAATTTTTTGCATTTCTTAACGTTTCAAGGTCCTCTGAGTCCAAAAATAAAAAATCTATGAGGAAGGGGTCATTTTTTTAAACGATTACCTTTTCTTACATATAACAGAGCCGGGAAAGTAATAAATACTCACAACAGATAGCGCCACATACAACTTTAAACTGAAATTTCAACTTGAAAAGTATGTTTCTAATAAAATAATTTATAAAAATATATTCGATATTTCCGAAGGGTTTTATAATTCTTTAAAAATAAAACCTTGCCATCTTTTTGTAGATGAGGCTAAAGCAAGTTTGAAATGTTAAAAATGGAACCAAAATTTTTTATATTGTCGAATTCTCTATTAAAAAAAATAGTAATGAGTTTTTATTGAGAACAAAAAAAATTGGTAATTTTTAGTTATGAACATATTTATTCATACGTTTTTAAGGAAATTTCCTAATAAAAATTCAATTTCTTTCTGAGGCATTCTGAATGAGTGTATGACGGCTTGAGTAGTTTTAATACAGTTAATATTTTTGTGACTTTTTTCTTTTATATATTGAGACTAGCTTTCAACATTGTATATTCTGTGTTTTATTTAATAAACATAAAAATATATCATTTTAATTAAATCAGAGAGGTGTATAAACAGCGCAGAGAGACAATATGAAATCGGGTTCATGCTACCCCCGGGCATAATTTGAAATCGATTTCATATTACAAAGTATATGTTTAACGTAATTGTAATGTTATAATATTACAGTTATACTTGAGATAAGTATTATTCCTTACTATTATGCTTTACTATTAGTACAGTTTATATATTATGAAATTAGAATAATCCTAATAAAAGATCTTACTCGTCATCAATAAGCTTATTAATTATCATGTGTTTAATGTCTGCAATGACATATAAAGTAATTTATTATAATTAATGCCATTTTAATTGCTTATTTTCTAATTTTATATGTAATTTTACGTGATTTAAATATTCATTACTTAAATTTTATGCATTTGATTTGAGATTAATATTTCTCTAGTATACAGTTTTTTCGTGAGGCAATGTTATTCAACTATGTATTTGAAAAACGATCAAGAGGAAAAAATCAACATAAATATTTAATTAGTGACAATGATAATTACTTCGATATTTATTTATGACATTAACCTTTAAAAAGTTCTAGAGTTTTTTAATATAAGTGTATGTACGACAGCCGAATAGAGCAGCAACCTCTCTAGAGGATTCAACATCGAATCCGAGGAACAACCACAATTTTTTTTTCGGCAGTTATCTATCCCAAATACATTGGGCTTCATAATAGGCATGGCCGAACTCACAAAGCACCTAAAAAAGGCCTTCTTAGTGTCTACATAATTACTTAGTGTAATAACTTGTTTAATTCTGTAATTAGGCCTACTTAGTACTTAGTGTAATTACTTTATATAGGCTTATATCTATATAACTTGCCAAAAACTTCATATAAAAAGTCTTTTTGAATTCCTATGTACAGTACCTACCAATTATAAGAAATGGCAGCACTGTTTTATTGTTTCTTATATAATTCGAGCTGTAAAATCTAGTTTTATTCATGTAATATTTTAAAATTTTTTCTTTTAAAATATTATGATAATTTTTTCAACTTAAAAGAAAAAGAAATGATTACACCCTCTTGTATAATGTTGAATCAATAAACTGATCTCCCTCTTCACAGCATCTGTATTTTACACACAGTTAATTTACTTTTTATATATCAGAAATAAATAAAATTTAAAAAATAAAAATCTTAATGTAAGAAAAAATAATTACTGTTAATGACTTTAAAATATATCATAGAAAAATAAACGCTTTTTTTCCAATATTAAAGGAAAAAGTTATCTTTGTTTCAATCTAGATCATATTCATTATCGGTATTTACAAGGTCAATGTTTTAAAAAATACAACTTAGAAATAAGAGAAAAAAAAATAAAAATTCCAAAATTATATCAATAATAAATATTTTTGTATATAGCAAATAAGTTTTAAAAAAATCATTAACACTATAACAAGGTTTGTAGTTAACAATGTTATCTTTCAGATCAGAAAAGATAACATTGTTAGATAAAAATAAAAGATAAAAATAGTTCTCGATCTGATGTTGTAAGCATCAAACTCTCTCCAAATTGTTAATTTAGGCCTCATTTAGTTAATTTTTATTTAATAAATTTATTAAAGTTAGATATTTCTTCTTCATTCCTTACACAAGATGCTATCTTACTTAAAATTTTCCGCATTGCAAATTTAAGTTGTCCATTTTATAATAGGGAAGTTAATACTTGATTGAAATTCCTACAGTTTCTCTTTGTCGTATTATTACCAAAGGAATGTCAAATATATCAGGCATTCGTAATTAAAGTACTCTTATTCACTGCATCACTCTCTGTATAGAATAATTGTCTTGTACTTGAAGCGCCTGAAGTGCTATAATGGAGAGTTTCGGTACTAATTTACGGACTATCTTCTATGGCCTGAAATGTCACCATGCCAAATTTAGTTGCATTTGAACTGCTCTTTAAAAACGTTGAATAGGAATAATTTAATTGTAATAACTCGCTATAGTAATTTCTTAATGCAAATATTTTTACGAAAAAAATAATAAATAGGGAATAATTTTTACTAGTAAGCTCACATAATTAATTTATATTACTTAATGACGTAACAATACGTCAATATTTAATGTTGTTTGTGCAAATTTATACTTAATTATAATATAATAAAAACCTGTTTAAACAGGACACTTTGCAAAGCAGAAACATGCCCAAACGCAAAATCTCAGAAAATAACGATTTTTAAAAGACTGTGATAATCTGAAAACCTGTCTAATGCGGAAATGAAAGCCATTTTGTATAATAACTTGAGTAAAGCGGAATTTTTCCGAATAATATCAGCTAAATTTCAGTCACATATACAGGTTTAAATGTTTTCAAGATTTCTTAAACATAAAATATTTATATTAGAGAAAAACTGTTCTAAATATGAATTATATTTTTTCAACTTTCACTCTTTTTTTGTTTAAACGTTTGCATAATAAAAAAATTATAAATAAAACCCGTTTAAAACATAACACTTCAAATCTTCCGTTTTGACAGGTTATACAGAGTTATGTTTTTATTGTCTTCTAGAGAGTAGGATAAAACAACAGTATTGCATTGTTAGAGCTTTTTTCCTGATAAGAAAAACACAGTCTTAAGTCTTAACAAAGGAAGAAAATATAACGTGATCAGCAAGAAGTAGACCATAATTTAAGGCTGAAAATTAGAGCGTTAGAGCAAATTTACCTGCTGTTACGTGGAAAAATTTCCTTTGTATTCAGATTATTATATATTAAATTTTGTAATAAATAGGTTAATATTGTTTAAATCTTATTATATTACAAGTATATTCATTTAGACTATTAAATAAATGTAGTTTTAAATGAATTTATGAATCTGTCAATTTTCTGAATTATTCTAAATTCTAATTATTCTCTTTAGTTAGTACAAACGTAATCTAATATAAAATGGAAAGCTGTTAGAAGGGAAAATTCTGATTGGTACCGTTGTGTTCCATATTAAACAGGTTTTACTATATTATATTACATCGCGTTTTTATAACAACATCTTGTTTCTAAAATAAGATCATACGTTTCTTAACAGTGTTTTAGAACTTCGGAATTAACTGTATTTTTTTAGAATAATTCAGAAAATTGACAGATTCATAAATTCATTTAAAACTACATTTATTTAATAGTCTAAATGAATATACTTGTAATATAATAAGATTTAAACAATATTAACCTATTTATTACAAAATTTAATATATAATAATCTGAATACAAAGGAAATTTTTCCACGTAACAGCAGGTAAATTTGCTCTAACGCTCTAATTTTCAGCCTTAAATTATGGTCTACTTCTTGCTGATCACGTTATATTTTCTTCCTTTGTTAAGA